ATGTATGTATGAAGTCATTCCAAGTAGTTATAGCTTTCTATGTGATCTCTAGTTTCCATCGCAGTAAAAAAAAATAAGAAAACACATTGGGGAAAGTGCCAGCCACTGCACTCCAGCCTGGGCGAATGAGCTACAAAAAAAAAAAAAAAAAAAAAAAAAAAAAAAACTGAAAGTATCCGGACTCTGAAGAATGGACATTGTTCTTAGGAATGACACCTGAGTCACCATCTCAGTGTTCTTTGTGACTTCCTGAACTGAGATTACACCAGTAGAGATACAAAGGAGGAAGGACAGATGAGATTTAATCCCTGGATATGTGTGAGAAGTAGGGAAGAAAAGAGTGCCTTAAATAGTAACGTATTTCTGGATGTGATCAATTTTTATCGGGAAAGCTTATTTAAAAATGAAGAAAGTTCAAATGGAGATACATAAATTAGAGGAGGACTTGGTAGGCACAAGTGAGCTGAGTTTCAGGCAAGTAGCGTTTATGGTACTTGTATGTTTAGGGGCTACATATATGATCTGAACTCAATACAGAATTTGGGAGCTATGGTAAATTGAATAATGGCACCCCAAAAATGTCCATGACCCAGACCCTGTGAATATGTTTTCTTACATTGCAAAAAGACATTGTATACAAGTGATTAAGTTGAAGATACTGAGTTGTCATATCATTTTGGATTATGTAGGTGTGCCTAATGCAATCATGGGGATCCTTAAAAGGACACAGGTACCAGAGATTAGAAGAAAGGCGATGTGATGACAATGGCAGAGATTAGAACGATAGGGACACAAGCCAAAAAATGATGATGCTATGAGTAGTTGAAAGACAGGAACAGATTCTCCCTGGTGCTTTCAGAAGGAACTAGCTTGTGGACACCTTGATTTTATTCCCACAAGAGTAATTTTGGACTTCCGGTTTCCAGATCTGTAAATTAATATATTTGTATTTTTTTAAGCAACTGTTTCATGGTGATGTGTTTCAGCAATAATACAAATCTAGGGGAAAAAATTGAGTTTGGTCATTATATTTGATTATATGGACAAAATAAACACATGGCATTATAAGAGAACTGCAGATGTTTAATTAGTCGATAAAACTTCTTAATTTTTGAGAGGTACTTGAAGTATTCCTTTAGCATTGATAAATTTATAGTAACTTTACAGTGTGTTTATTGACTATAATATTTAACAACTCTTTATGAACAATGAAAACTTTTTCATATTTTACTTGTGTCTGCATCTATCAGAGCTCTGAATCCAACTTAACTTTCCTTTTCTTAACTCATTCTTACACAGTTTATTGTTTTCTAAAGTGTTGCAGATAACACCTTGTTTGGACCATAAAATACTAATACTTAAGAGGAGGAACATTAATATATAGCTGTTCAAATTTTATGTCTAGATTTGATATCCTGAGAAAAATGTACAACTTTAATTAAAAATGTATGAAATTTCACATTAAAGGAAATCATGAGAGACCTGATAGCTAAGTCTAATACTCCATCATATGCTGGATCCCGTTAGAGTGACTAACTGTTCTGTTTAATCTTGAACTGACAAGCTTCCTGGGACATGGGACTTTCAGGGCTAAAACACGGACAGTCAGACTACACATACTGGTTCGGGAACACACACACACACACACACACACACACACACACACGCGAAAGAGGAAGGGAGAGAGAATGAATAAATTATAAAGCAAATGGCAAGTTATGACAAATAAGTGAATTGGTAAAGTGTATAAGGCTCTTCCTTGAACTAATTTGTGCAGCTTTTTGGGAGTTTGAAATTAATTTCAAATTTTTAAAAGTTAGGTAAACAAAAACTATGTAGATAAAAAATTGTTGAAGTAAGTACGAGATTCTATTTTGTCTGGCACCTAGAGTTGCTACCCAGACTTGCTCATGTCCTTTCTTGTTGCAGTCACACCACACTTCCTCTCTGTCCTTTCCCCATAACACATTCTTCAGCCTTCATTTCGTTCCAGAGAGAGTCTGTGCACTCTCATCCTAGTGAAAATTGCACATATTGACCAGGCTGATTGAAATACCCTTTCTAATCCTTTTACTGTGTCTCCCATTATCTAGTTAATTTTGATTAATATTTAGATCAGTTAACTTTTTTGCTTTCTTTAGAGCCTGTGAGAAACAATACTCCCAGATTAAGTCGAATCTTCCTATTACCATCTTTGTATGTGTCATGTAACCCTTACAACATTGTTAACATTTATTTTTTGTGATTACTTGATGGATGTCTGCCTTGTCCACTAGACCTGATGATTTTAAGTGTCAGAAATATGCCAGTATCCGTTCACCATTTTACCCTCTCTGTCCAGAACCGCATCAGACACATGGAAAGGATTCCACAAATAACTTGTTAAGTGAATGAATTCTGATTCACCTGGCTCAAAATTTCTTAAGAAATAATCATGCCATGCTTTTGCTCAGGTGAGACAGACTGAGGATTATGTATATCGATTAATTTACTTTTCTTCCAATTCAAAAATACAAATATGAGAATGTAAATATGTTCATATAACAGTTCATTATCATCTGATGTTCGTAATATTTTAGATAAATTTTTTTATTGTGAGTAGATACCACATGCAAAGCACAAGAGTGTTGAGATGTAATCAACTGGTGAACAAAAGTGCTTAGAACTATGTATTTGGTTTTAATTTTTACAGAATGATTTAAATAATGTCATATCTATCAGTAACTCTCTTGTTCTCTTTAGTGTATATCAAAACATTTTAGCCACAGATGAAAACTCAAGCAGAGCAATGATCACTTTTTTCAACTATTTCTCTCTTGACATGCGCTTTGTTTACCAACAGTGTCCTACATATTGTAACCCACATACATTCTGCTCTTTGCTTGCTTGCTTCTGCACTTTTGATGTTTTTCCTTCTGTTTGGAATGGCTTTATTTTTACTCTTTCTAATATCTATTAATTCTTTAATATTCATAATTCTTTTCCTTATCTCCTCTGTGAACATCCCAACAAGCACGCATACCCACCAGTCTGGGTTAGGTGCCTAGTTGTGTGTTCTCACAATCTTTGAATATTTTTAATTGAAATTGTTGTGGTATACGCACATTTTCTGTGAGTGACTTTCTCCCCTACTGAACTCAAAGAGCCTTGAGGGTGAATACTGCCTTATTCACAATTGTAAATCCAGTTCAGGTCCAGTCCCTGCTGTTTAGTGGGCACTCACTATAAATTTGATAAACTTCAACTAATCAGATCACACAGAGGCATGAGCCTGAAAATCAACAAACACATGTCTCTTAGTGGCCTCAATAAAAATAAATGTGACATAGATTGTGAGCCAAAAACCAAGCGCTGTCTTCATAGAAGAGTCCCTCAGGTCTTACAAACTCTTATTTTAGACACCATTTTTTAAAAAAGTGCTTGCTTATCTGATTTCCCAGCACACAGAAAATTAAAAGCAGCAATTTGGAGGCAGTAAAAGGCTGATGTTAGAGGCAGGCATTGTAACAAAAAAAAACTTCTAGTTGCTGACTGGAGGTTACACAAAGGTGATACCTAATGTAGAAATGAAACCCCTTTTTTTTCTTTTAGACTAAATTATGAAAATCAACCTCTGGTGTGTTCTTTTACTAGGGATAAATTAAACTGCAAATAAATTATTTTAAAAAGACAACTATAAAATCTCAATGTTTGAACATTACTCATATACTTCTAAATAACTTGTAAGAGGAAATACACAAAGCTGTACAAAACATCTTGAAATAATGAAAATATGACACATGAGAGATACTATTATAGATGTAGGTATATCAGAGCATAAAGAGAAATGTGTAGCCTTAAGTGCATCTGTTTGAAAATAGAACAAAGCTAGAAAAAAAACAGAAGTAAACTAGGAGGGAATAATAGATCAGAGATGAATAAAATAGCTAAGATAATAACTGATAACATGAAGAGAGCTGAATTTGTTTTTTTTTTGAAGCAGTCACTAAAATCAACTTATCTTTATTGATTAAGCTAGTAGTCGTTACATTGGCTGCAGATCCCTAGATACCACATATATGCAATAAAACTTTCCAAAAGAATAACTTTTTCTTAGTCATTCACTATTTATTTGGTACTTTCTTTGCATCCATGAATGTTTCAAAAGGTTCTGACTTCCAGGGACTTATGTTATTAAGGCAACAAAAGAAACAATTTTTAAAAAAGCAAAAACAAATATATAGCCACCAAACAAAAAACAATAAGAAAACACATCAGCTGAGGTTTTTGTTTTGTTTTGTTTTTTTGCAAGGGAGTGTGACCACAGTATCTGGGAATACTGCTAAAGAAGCAAGAACGCAAGTGAAGATTGAATTTGCAGATTAGGGATACGCTTTTTATAAACAGTAGATGAAAAAAGAATGTATAGTCAGGTAATGGAGACACCATTGAAATAGAAGAGATTTCAACATGCTTCAATATACTTTTCTAGAAAGATGTAGCTGTAGATAAGAAATATGAGGTCAAGGGAAATTTATTTCTCATCTCACATGGAGAACACTAAGAAGTGTTACAGGAAAGCGAAAATAAACATACGATCCAACAGAGTAAGTCCTTGAGAAGACAGAAAGGAGGAAGGGAACAGGACTGATGTTTTATGCTGCGTGGTTTAAATGTTCAGATTTTCATATTCATTTTTTTTACTTCTATGTTACTTACTCTCTAGAAAACTGAATTTGAAGACTTCTGGTAATGTCTGGATATGAAATTTATTTAGACACTGGTTAAGCAGGTTACCTATGGGTCAGGATATTGGAGCATATATATTTTGATTGTAAAGAATGTATTTCGATTTTAGGTATTTAGACTAAGTATATTTAGACTTCTAAGGTTTGACATGGGATAACAAATTTTTTCATTACCTATGTAAAAATACCAAATGATGTGACAAATATCCCAAACATAATACAAACCACTTTCAGAAAAAAAAAAAAAATTCTCAGCTGGGAGCTTTTTCCTGTAGCTTATTTTTCTATATCTGCCTCTACACCAGCCCCATTCTACAACTTTGCCATGTGATAATGAATATTACTAGTTAGTGTTGGGAGTGAGTAAACTGGGAAAGTATTTCAACTACATTTGACCGCATAAGCTACCTGGGCAAATTGTTCTCTGTGAGTTAAAGGTGAGTGGGGGCATTAACTTATTTCATTACACTGGGACGTGTCCTCTGTCAATACAATACTCTCAAACAATTTAATAATACAGGTTAGCCTAGTTCAAGATATATAGTGTTGGAGGCAGGGATCTCAGTAGCCTTAGAGCATAATCTCACATTACTGAAAGAATAAATTCCAAATAAACTAACATCATGTCAAAGGTTCCTGCAGCAAAGACCTGCATGTTCTGTCACTGTCTTATGTTCTAACACATTGCAATGCCTTAATGTTCCCAGGCATAAATGTCTGGAACTATTAAGATCCTCAACTTCTAAATATGTAGTTTTCTAAAGGTAAAACATACCTATTTTAAAATACAATTGCCATGAAAGGGAAATCTGCCATTTTTCACTTCTCTCTGCAAATTTTCCTAATTGTACAAACAATGGCTTGTCTCTTGCCCGTTTTTATTTTTTTTAACCAATAGGGTGATAGTTAGTGCTGATTTGCTAATGAGAGTATGGACTATGCTTGTTTTTCTTGCTTACTTATTAATACTGCCTATGTGTATTCCTTATTTGGATGATAAACTATATAGTCACTGTAACTACGGTGCTTTGCCCTAGAAGGCAACCCTGAGACACCCTCAGAGAGAAATAGAAGTGCTAAAATTGGTATTGCAAAAGTGAATGGCATTAATGGCTGGGTAATAAATCCTTTTGTTCAGGTTTCCCATTATTTACTTTCAACACAATGAAGGGAAAACCTAATAGAGTTGTCAGATGACAGATTATTAAAAATAATTTTGAAGATAGATAGCTATGTAATTTGGGGCATATAACTATTAAGAAGTGCAAAGAGCCGAGAAACCTTGCCATAATAAAACAGCTTCCATTACCATCTGTTTTTGTGATCACATTTTCTCGGCACCTACCTAAAAAAAAAAAAAAGAATGTAGGAATAAAATTGGTGAGTACTGTCTCATTCAAGTAACAAATACAGCAATACTTCATTTTGTTGTGCTTCACTTTATTGTGCTTTGCAGATACTGTGTTTTCTACAAATTGAAGGTTGGTGGCAACCCTGCACTGTACAAGTCTATTGACACCGTTTTTTCTATAGCATGTGTTTACTTTCTCTCTCTGATGCACTTTGGTAATTTTCACAATATTTTGAACTTTTTCATTATTATATCTATTATGGTAATGTGGGATCAGTGACATTTGGTGTTATGATTATGATTGTTTCAGGGAGACATGAATCCAGCCCATATAAAAAAGCAAACTTAATAGAAAAATATGTGTATTCCAACTGCTCCACTGGCCAGATAGTCACTAATCTCTCTCTTTTTTATTGGACCTCTTTATTCCCTGTACTGAAATTAAGCCTGTCAACTCTGTGGTAGTCTGTAAGTGTTCACGTGAAAGGTTCTCACTTTAAACCAAAAGCTAGAAATTATTAAACATTGTGAGAAAGTCGTGTCAGAAGCTTAAAACTAAGCCTCTTGAACCAGTTGGCCAAGTTGTGAATGGAAATAAAAGTTTCTTGAAGAGATTTAAAAGTCCTGTTCTGGTGAACCCATGAATTATAAGAAAGCAAAAAAGTCTTACTGATAGTAAAGGGAAAGTTTTAGTGGTCTGGACAGAAGATTGAACCAGCCACACCATGCCTTTATGCCAAAGCCTAATCCAAAGCAAAATCCTCAGTTCTATCCTCCTCAATTCTATGAATTATAGAATCGATCCCCCTCAATTCTATGAGGGCAGAAAGAGATGAGGAAGCTGCAGAAGAAAAGTCAGAAGCTAGCAGAGTTGGTTCATGAGGCTTAAGGAAAGAAACCATTTCCATAACGTAACAGCGCAAGGCGAACCAGCAAGTGCTGATGTAGAGGCTGCAGCAGGTTATTCAGAAAATCTAACAGATCATTGATAAAGGTGATGCACTAAACACTTTCTTTGGAATTTTAAATATTTCACTATGATACATATATGACAGTTGTATATGTTTATAGGGCACATGTGATGTTTTGGTATGGGCATACAATGTAATGATTGAACCAAGGTAACAAGTCTATCACTTCAAATATTTATCATTTCCTTGTGTTAGGAACATTCCAAATCTACTCTTTCAGATATTTTAAAATATACAATAAATTTCTGTTAATTATCGCCACCCTGTTGTACTACTGAATACTAGATTTAATTGACTCTACCTAACTGTACTTTTGTACTCATTAACCATCCCCACTTTATCCCATCCTTCCTACTATTCTTTCCAGCCTCTCATAATTATCATTTTACTTCCAATTTCTATGAGATTTTTTTTCTACTTCTCACATGAGTATGAAAACACATGATATTTGTCTGTCTGTGCCTGTCTTCTTTCATTTAACATAATGTTCTCCAGTTCCATCCATGTTATTGCAAATGAGAGAATTTAATTTTTTATGGTGAATAATATTCCATTGTGTATCTGGACCATATTTTCTTTTTCTCTTTTACCATTGATGAACACTTAGGTTGATTTCAAATCTTGGTTATTGTGAACAGTGCTGAAATCAACATGGAACTGAAGATATCTGTACAATACACTGATTTCCTTTCTTTTGGGTATGTACCCCATAGTAGAATTGCTGGATCATGTAGTAGTTCTAATTTTTAGTTCTTTGAGGAACCTCCATACTGTTCTCCAAGGTGGCTGTACTAATTTATATTCCCACCAACAACCTCTTTTCTACAAGAAGACTACTCCCCATTCTCCACATCCTTGTTAGCATTGGCTATTTTCCATGTTTTGGACAAAAGCCATTTTAACTGGGGTGAGATGATATCTCATTGTATAATAATTTTAATTTGCATTTCTCCGATTATTAGTGATGTTGAGCATTTCTTATATACTTGGTCATTTGTGTATCTTATTTTGAGAAATATCTATTCATATCTTTTGCCTATTTTTAATCTGATTATTTTCTATAGAGTTGTTTGAGCTCCTTATATATTCTAGTTATTAATTCCTTGTCAAATGGGTAGTTTGCAAATATTTTCTCCCATTAGGTGGGTGGTTTCACTTTGTTGATTGTTTCCTTTGCTATGCGGAAACTCTTTAGCTAAATGTGATCCCATTTTTCCATTTTTGCTTTGGTTGTTTGTGCTTTTGAGATCTTACTCAAAATCTTTGTAAAGACCGACATCCTGGAGTTAGCAGCCAATTTTCAATGTAGAGCGAAGCCTTTTATTGGGAAAAAAATGTCATCTAGGAATTTCCTACATAGGGAGAAATCAATGCCTGGCTTTAAAAACGTCAAAGATCAGGCTGACTCTCTTGTTAGTGACTAATGCAGGTGGTGACTTTAAGTTGAAGACAAAGCTCATGTATCATTCTGAAAATCCTAGAGACATTAAAAATTATGCTAAATCTACTCTGCCTATGCCCTATAAATGAATCAGCAAAGCCTGGATGATAGCATATCTGTTTACAGCATGGTTTGCTGAGTATTTCAAGCCCACGTTGAGACCTACTGCTCAGAAACAACTTTGTACCTGATTGCCCAAAAGCTTTGAAGGAAATACACAAAAAGATTCATGCTGTTTTCATGCCCACTAACAGAACATTCGTTCTACAGCCCATGGCTCAAGGAGTAATTCTGATCTTAAGGTGTTACTATTTGAGAAATAATTTTCAAAAGGCTGTAGCTGCCATAAATAGTGATTCCTTGACGGACATGGGCAAAATAAATTGAAAATCACATGATTGTTAGTATGTTGTATCAATAAAGTATTTTCAAATTAAGGTATGTACAGTTTTTTAGATACAATGCTATTGCACATTTAATAGACTATAGTATAGTGTAAACATAACTTTTATAAGCACTGGGAAACTGGGAAACTAAAACATTTGTGTGACTTGCTTTATTGTAATATTGGCTTTATTATAATGGTCTAAAATCAAACACACAATCTCTCCAAAGTATGCCTATAGTAGTTACACATGGACATGTGACAAAGCCCTATTAATATTATTAAGGGATTTATTTTAAGAAAATGTAAAATTATTGTAATAAACATTTAACAAAAATTTTAATATAATTATATTACTTTAATTCATTATGTGCTACTAATTGTAATGATAATTTTGGCTTTATACTAACAATTATTTTATATGGGAACTATACTGTATCATTTAAGACACTAAAGGGAAAATTTTAAATTTACTCTAGCATGGTATATCAAAATTTATTATTTAGGGTGTTTTATAAAAACTATCAGATTTACAGATTGTATTAGTGGAATATTGCAAATATGCAGAATTATTGTTGGTATCAAATACTGGAAGACATCTTTTATTCACACATAAGTTATAGTATATTTTGCTTTTTTGTGTACTCTTGAGCAACAACAAATTCAAAACACACTTTAGATAACTATAATTAGCATTTTGATTTTTATATC